GGGATTATAGGCTTGTGCCACCACACCCAACTTTAAAGTGTGTATTCTAAAAGTATGCAGTTTATAGTGTTCATTATGCCTTAGTTAAGTTGTAAAAAATATTGTAGGATGTAGCTTAGTAGTTGAGCAATTGTCTAGCACACATGAGGCGCTGGATTCAATCCCAATGCCCCCCACCGCCGACACACAAAAGGGGGTCATCCTGGGGCTGGTCTTTATTGATTGCTTTTCTTCTTACACATGGATCAGGTTTTCTGTTTCTTTGTATGTCTAGTAATTTTGAATTCTATTGTGGATATTGCAGATGATCTGTATAGATACTCTAGTTTCTGTTAAGTTGATCTGAAGAATGTTGATTTTTTTGTTTTAGCAGGCTGTTAGCTCTACTGAACTCAACATTTAAATTCGGCACTGTGTGGTACAAGGCAGCTGAAATCTCCATTCAGATATTTTAGCCTCAGCTGGGTTACTTGGAATTGGCTTTGTATATGCAAAGTTCAAGGGGTTCCCAAAGATTCTGGCAAAGTTTATATGTAGAATGTGGGAGCTGCCCTTTCTGAATTTCTTTCTGTGATTTACCCCTCACTTTTCAGATGCCATGGTTGTCCTGAGGTCTATCTAAGTCAACTGACTCTTTGAACCTGTAATACTCAGCTTCTTTCTAATTTCTAGCTATCTCTTTCTGTTACTTCTCTTAGGTAAAAATTAGTAAAAATTGGAACTCACCATTTCCTTCTTTCAGTGTTGATTCCTTTCCAGTTTCTGCCTTTTCAGTGTCCAGTGTTTTCAGATGATTGTTGTATTAATCTGTTTTCAATAGTATAATAAAGTCAAAATAACTAAGGTGGGCTACTTTATAAAGAAGTTCATTAAGCTTATAGTTCAAGGGCATGACACCAGCATTGGTGTGGCTCTTGTGAGGATTCATGGTCAATGGCATCATGACAGCAAGAGCATATGTGGAGTAAAGAGATCACATCTCAAAACATGAGACCAGAAAGGCTAAGGTTCCACAATTTCTTCCTAGGGCTTGGGTCCAATATCTGACAGTATTCTCACTAGGCTCCATCTCTTAAAGGCTCCAGGATACTTCTACACTGCCAAACTGAATACCAAGTTTCCAACATATGAAACCATAGGTGACAAACCACTTCCAAACCATTGCAGTTATCTTTAAAACTATCTTGTTCAGGGGCTGGGTGTTGTAGCTCAGTAGTAGAGCGCTTGTCTCACACTTAAGAGGCCCTGGGTTCGATCCTCAGCACCACATAAAAATAAACAAATAAAAATAAGGTTATTGTGTCCATCTACCAACTAAAAAAATTTTAAAACTATCTTATTCAGAGTTTATTATTGTTATCCATAGTAGGATTGCCATAAGATAAGTGACTCCAATACTACCTGAAACAGAACTCTGCTCACACTTTCTAAACTTTTTTTTTAGGCTTATCTAAGTTTCTAGGAATACTAGATTCTTTAATTTATCTCCACATCCTGTAGGCAGGGCCTCCTTGGCTGATATTCTTTCTTCCATTCAATAAAGTAATGATTCCCACCTGGCTCTGGACAGTTACATGCTGTCATGTGCCCTCTACTCCTCTAAGAATACATTTGTTTCATGCCTTTATCTTAGCTTCTGATTTTTCTGGCAATTCTTGGCATTTTTTGGTTTGTGGATGTATCACTTCAATCTCTGCCTCTGTCATTCTACAGAGTTGTTCCTGTGTGTCTGTGTAATCACATGGCATTCTCCTCTTTCTCTCTCTTCTTCTTATAAGGACATCAGTCATATTGGATTAAGTACTCACCCTATTTCAGTAGGGCTTCATCTTAATTTGCATCTTAATTACATCTGCAAAAACCCTATTTCCAAATAAGTTCACATTCACAGGTCCCAAGGAAAAATACTTCAACATACCTCTTTGGGGGACACGACAGAAATGTAAGATGACTAAGCATCCTGGTTTGCCTGGTCCTGTCCTGGTTTTAGTGCTAAAAATCTTGCTTCTCAGGACACTTCCTTCATCCCAGGAAAAATGAGAGGGTTGATCGCTCCAAAAGCAAAACAGGACCAGGTGGTAGGATGGAGAAAGCTAAGCAGAAGGCAATCTCAGTTGGAGGCCAGTTTCCATATAATTCCACCCAGAAGCACTGAGATAGACACGGAGAGCATCATAAATGTGAAGCAACTTGAGACCAGTCTTTGAGCATCATGCCATCATGGCCAGAATTCTGCCTCGGGTTCTTAGGGCTGCTGTTGGTGGGTCCTATTCACCCCACTCTGCAGTGATTCTGGATGGGGGGCGGCTGTGAGCTGTCAGCAGCCAACTCTCAGAGGCTGGAGGACCACTGAAGTAGATCTTGGCAGAACTACCTGTAAACACCCATCCATCTATTTGTCTCTGTAAATAGCCTATCTTTCTACCTACTCACTTGGGCAAATGCACACCTAGACTCAGGTTCACCTTGGTTAAGTACAAACCTGTCCACCCAGGTAAATTGCCCACTAGCCCACCTGTATGTCTTAGAAAAGAATCATCTATCCCAAGAGCTACCCATACCTTGCATTTGTGGGCCATACCTGACACTCCTCCGATCTCTTGGCTTTCCCTTCAATTCTGCCTGGCTTTGCTCCCATGTGTCCCTCTGTGCTGCTTTTGTTTTAGTACCATTTGAAGGTGTCTCTGATATGATCCCTGCATTGGCTTTCTACCCCACTTAACAGCAATTTTTCTTTCTTGACCCCCTCCCCAGGTAAGCCTCCCCAAAGGGGCTGCTATACTGATCTCTGCATGTGCAATTCTAATTCTCTTATTTCAAACACCCAGGATAAATGGTCCTCTTAGACACTGCTATCTTCCCTCCAATAGCCCCATCAGCCATTCCTTCCAACTTTTCAGTTGCCCAAGCCCCAGTCAGCTCCTCCAATGCACTGAGCTCTCACCCAATTTAAGTCGCGAAGCAAAATCCTGGACTCCCGGGGGGCCTCTGAAGAGCAGCCTTCTAGGCTCACCTCACCTGCTCTCAGTTGTCCTCCCCTGCATATCCTCCAGGGACAACCCCAGCTGCTCCTGGCCTCCATCACTTCTTTTGTCAGACTGAAAAGCAGCCATAGCTGTTTCCAGAACTGGTCCAAGGAGTCTTTGCCAAAAGAGAGGGGCAGATAAGGGAATCCATCCCCTCCAGGTGGTAGCGGGAGGAATGGCGGAAGATCAGGGGTCACAGAATGGGTGGGCACTGACAGACTTCTGACTTTGGACTGACGAGGCTGAGAGGACCAGGCAGGCGCAACAAGGGTCCCTAAAGTGCAAAGCTGAAGCTGGGGGATGGACCTTCTGCATCTGAGCCAGGGGGTCTTCAGCAGCCAAAAGGTAGGCAGGCAGGGCAGAGGTGGGGAGAGGGTCTGAGGCACCGCTCAGAGCTGAGGAAGGCGAATTGGGGATGAGGAGGGAAGTCCGGATGGAGGGCCCAGGATGCCCTCCAAGGTTCTGCTACCCCTCACTTTCCGGACGCCCCCTCCCCCCCTCCGCTTTCCTGTCTTCACTTTAGGCCGCGCGGGCTAGGCCATCAGGATTCCCCTGATTGCTTTCTTTCATACTTGTGCCTTTTTCTGAAGCAAACGCCCGCTAATGCCTCCTTTATCACGGAATTAGGGGATTTAGGGCCGATCGCACAAAGGGGCCCTCGATAGAGGCCGTAATCAAATGCCAATCGGCCAGATCTCTGGCGGGCGGGGGAAGAAAGCGAGCGCCGCGGATTAGTGCGGGTCCATGGCCAGGCCCGAGCCGAGATAGCATCGTGCGGCCACGGGTCTGAAGCCGTCGGGAGGGCCGGTCGCCGCAGCGGAGAAAGACCGGCTTAGCTCCCCGCGCCGGGGATTCTGAAACCATTAGGGGGGATTAACACCCGGGTTAATCTGCTTTGGCCGCTCAATTGTCAGCAGCGAACGCGCTGGGCGGAAAACGCCTGGGTTGGAGAGTTCCCGGCCTCACTAACTGGCAGGTCTCAGTTTCCCCAGCTGCCACCTGGCCAAGGCAGGTCCTGGGGCCGAGAGGGAAGGATGTGCACCTTGGTAGATCGGGCCTACTGGCTTGATGTGTGTAACTGCAGATTGTGGGTGTGGAGCCTGGCCCTTTGCACACTGTCACTGCCAGCCTTCCTGTATCATCAGAGAATATAGCTCCTTTGTCTTTTCTGTCCTAGTCTAACAGAAGAACATTCCCCACCCCTCTCATTCCACATCTGGGTTCTGATTTTCAGTTGTGGCTTGGGTTCCTCAACCAGGTACACACCCCTGCCCATTGTGGGTGGCCAGGAAACACGTTGCAGACTGGGTGGATGCAACAGAGAAAAGCTGCCACTTGGAGGACTCTCATTCCTTGAGATCCCTTTTCAAGTATGGCCCTCTCTGGGGGCATTTGTTGATCTATTCTTTGACAGTACTTATGTGATGTCACCTGCTGACTCCTCCAGCTCTTCAGTCCCCTCCCTCTAAGTGGGCCAGGCTGGAGTTGTACTGGCCTGTGATTCCATAGGTCTCCTTTGTTTCTGCCTGTGTTATCTTGTCTGAGCAGAGGAGCTGGCTGAGAAGAGTAAGGGCCCAGCTAGGATGAATCAGTGTCCAACGGTGTGGTTTGCACTCACTGCTGCCCCCTATAGGAAGCCATAACCCTAACACTCTCTCTTGCCATTGCAGACAAACTTCCAAGGTCAGGGGACTCAGGTGCCTCCACACCTGGTCTTTTCCATGGTGACTTGGTTAAGGTTACCGTGTCAAATATAAGCTCATAGGTGGCAGTAGAGAGCTGGAATGGATTTGGCCTGATAGGCAGGCTGTGGAGACATAGCACTGGAGAGGCCAGTGGGATCCTCTCTGCCCCCAAACTCTGGTGCCATATCCTTTAATGTGGCTGACACTAGTGATATTGGACCAAAAAACAAACAAAACCCCCAAAACAAAACAAACAGAGGAAAAGACACAGTGTAAGTCCTTTCTTCCTTCATTTAGTAGTGACCAGAGAATCTCCAACCTAGGCCCTGTGGAAAGGGTAAAGGAAAGGTGCCCTAGGTTACAGGCTTTTGCAGTCTGGGAGCTTGGATCTGAGAGCCCAAGAGGATAATCAGGTGAGGGTGTAGTTCAGGAAAGATGCCCCATATCAGCGCACGGGTCAGACAGGGCCTGAACAGCAGTGGAGAATTACAGGGCTAAGGTGGAAGGTACGAATGTTCCAGCGGGGTGAGGATATGGTGCAGTGGTAAAGCAATTGACTACTAAGGGTAAGACCCTGAGTTCAATCTACATCACCGGGCGGGGTGGGGGGGGAGTGTTTCAGGAAAAGGAAATCGTAGCTTTTGGGGGTATGTAGAGAGCGGGACGCCTCAGAATAAGTTTAGCCTTAGGAAAGTGGAAGGTGGGGCGGTAGGCTGGGGAGTGTCCCTTCAAGCTGGTGCGTCAGGGCTCTCGGCAACCTCCGGTGATGGCAGCAGATCCTCCTGGGAGGTGCCATTAGAGAATCCAGGAAAGTGGACGGCATTGACTAAGCCAGCCGAGTGTTGGGGAACTGTGGGCGAAGTCGGGGGACTCGCAACGAAATATCCAAGAACCACAAGGAGCCTCCACGCAGCCCAGCCTGGGACAGAAAACGCTGAGATCACGGGCTGCCGTGGTAGGACCAGAGAAGTTCCAGCACCCGGGACCGCCGGGAGAGTACCTACTCTGCCCCAGGCGGCCGGGCGCGTCCTCGTGACGCCATCGGCGTGCCCGTCCTGACTTCCGCCGACTTGTTCCTCGGGACGCGATCCGTCTCAGCCGCTGCAACCTTCTTTGCTTGAACCCGAGATTTAAGAAAACCTTATTCTTGCTTCAGAAATAGGTCCCCGGGCTGTGTCCCGGTGCTTTCTGCGTCCACGGGTCCCCGTTTACAGACTTCTATGGCCCGGTGCTAAGGGAGGCCCAGCTGTTCCACGGCCTTGTCCCTCGCCCTTCACCAGAAGCGAGTCTTCCCAAAGCTTCTCCCCTGGGCCCTGGTCGGTTCTACAGGATAAGCCCAGATCACGGACATATTATTTATCTTCATCACAGCCCGGGGCACCGAGTGTGTGTGTGTGTGTAACTCGCCAGAGTCACTGGCGGAAGATAGGGGCAGGAGGTCCTGGTGAGCGGCCAGCCTGTCTCAGGCTTTCGTGCAGCCTGGGTAGAGAACCTGGGAGGCCTCAGACTGGTTAGCTCGTGGAGACATCCCAGAGCCTGGCAAGCCTCAGAAGGCAGCAGTGTTCTGCAGGCTAGTGAGCCAGCGCCACAGTAGATATTTGGGCAGAGGGGGAGCAGAAGGGGTGAAATGGTGTATGCACTGAGGTCACTTCAGGGGATGTGGCCAAACGGGGCCTCCCTAACCTGACCAGTGGAGAAATAAAACACGTGGTAGGAGGGTGTAAGCAACCTGGCAGAAGAGAAATGTGGTAAGAGTATAATAAGGGCTATGTTGGAAAGGGTCAGGGATTGGGGCTCCATAAACCTAAGCAGAGAGGAAGCTGCTCTTTGGGGACATTTGCTAGGCAGGCTTGGGAGGAGGGGAGTGTCACGTTTATTTGTGCTCCCCAATGTTTTCTGTCATTCTCCATCATACTTCAGGCCAGTCATGCCCTGTGCCTGCATTTCCATCCCTTGTCCCAGGTATGCCCAGACCCTAATCCCAGAATTTGAGGAGGGCAGGAGTTCCTCAGACTCCTTGATTCTGTGCATTTACCTAAAACCCCTATCCAGGGAATCTGAAAACATAAAGGAAATAAAAAGCCAGTGAGGAAAATACTACTCACATCCTCAACCAAGACTGTTAACAATGAGCACTGGAAGAGATACAACCCCCAAACTAGAATTCTAAAAGGAATTGCCTAAAAAGGAGACAGTCCTATAGCTCAGTGGCTGAGTTTGTTGGGGGCGCTCCTGGGTTTGCTGTGACTGGCATTTTTGGGATACTAAACTATATCATTCATCACCTTCACAGGGACATGGAAAAGCCCAGGGGGTACTTGTGCATAAAAGGAGTTTCAAGGAATGTGGGATGGGAGTAGGTGAAGGGCAGCCTGGAGACCTCGGCTTGGAGGTGGCAGGATGCCTGTCCTCAGCCCCACAGCAGTGGAGACGGGGCTAGAGATTGGCCAAACCCTGCCCCAGGTGTGGTCACCACCTCCCTTCTGTTCTCCTCCTACCCTTGTTTCTGAAGCCATTGTCCCTCCTGAGTACAATCCATGAGGATCACAGGCTGTAGGCTGGTCCTTGTGGGTGGGACTTGGTGACCTGGAGTCTCCACACACATACACCTCTGATACATACACCTAGCCATCTCTTGGGTTTCTCCCAACACTGGCCTTGCATCCTTGTTGGTGAGGGGAGGTGGAACTCCAGGCTAGAATGGAGCCTGTTCTACTTCCACATTAGCTCAAAAACCTGCCCAGTTCTTTGTCCTTGCCCCCACTGCTGCAAGGTCAGGTGATGGTTCCAGCCCAGTGGCTCAGTCTGCAGTCTACTGCCACCCACCTCCTTTCTGGAGCCTTGAGATCCTGGTTAAATGCAGTTGGCTCCCTGCCTACCTCTACAGCCAATTTTGGCCTGCTCATTTTCCTCAGTCCAGAAGTGCCACCAGCTCTTTCCTAAGGCTGCCTCCTTAGGTGATTTGTGATGCAGCCTACAGTATGGGTTCCACAAGGGCAGCTGTTGTCTTCATGCATACATCCCTGAGACACTCCAAGAGTCCTGTCAACAGTTTTGGCTTTGCTACCTGATGTCAACCCTGTGCTCTGAAGCACAGGCAAAGGGATCCTGGGGAGTGGAGGGTCCCTGTTCCTTCTGGAAGACAGGAATGAGGGCCAGGCTGTTCCTGGGAACAGTCTCAGCGAGGATACAGACCCATGCCAGTATATGGGGTTGGGAGATTGCAAACAATCTTCTGAAACTCCATGAAGCAAGCTACTTTGTGTGAGGGCTTATTCTGGGTTAAGCATTGAGCCAAGCATCCCACAAGGATTACATCATTTCAGGCTCAACTCAGTGAATTGGTTCTTTTGCTGTACCATTTCTCACATCAGGGATTTGAGATTAGGTGACTTTCTCAAGGTCATACAGTGAAGGGATGAGGGAACCCAGGGTCTGAGCCTTTCTGTCCCATTCAGATGCAGCCTGGGGGCAGTCTCCCGGGAGCCCAATGCAAGACCAGTGCTGCCTCCAACCTACAGCCAAGCTTCTGAGGTTGAGTGGAAGGCCTGGGTTCCAGGGACAGTGAGCTTCTTTGTGTGGGACTCCAGCCCTGGTGGTTGCACGCCCCAGTGTGTGTGTGGTGGTGGATTTTTTGCCTATGCCTTTCTCCTCTGCCCAGCAGATTGGGAAGTCTCCTATGGCCACTTAAAAAAGCACTGAAAACACATGGCCAGCTTAAACACCATGCAGGCTGAGTAGCAATCTGCCTAAGGCTCTCCCCAAGGCCATGTGCTCACTCTGCATCTCAAGCCTACACTTGACCCTCAGATCTGCTTTGGACACTCTGCACCTTGTTTCTTCCCCTGCCACATGCATGGGATGTACTCTAGGTACCCAGGGCTGCCTGTATTAGGCTAAAATAACCAGGTATTCTTTCTGTAAAGGCTCCAGGAGTAGGAAGCTCCTGATGGCAATCACTTTCATAATTTACACGATACAGAGGCACTTGAGACAGGAAGGTATGTATTTTCTGCCCCCCCCCCCCATATAGCTGGGAGCACCAGTTGACCCTGCATTCCTATGCAAGTCTTCCACGTGGCTCATGCTGTGGAAGGAGAGGCTAGGACCATGGGACCTTAGGCTCAGAGCTCAAGCCCTACCTTGGTTCCCATATATGACAGATACAAGGAAACTCCAGCTAGAGTGCTGGAGTTCAAGGGTGTGAGGTGAAGTACCCAGAAGTCCTTGGCTAGGCAGCCCCTCACCCCTACTTCCGGCTCCCAGGCAATTGCCTCCCAGTGTAGAAGGAGTAGGGAAGGGCCCCTGTTCTGAGTCTCAGAGAAACCCCATGGTTCAAAATCACATGTCCCTTCCTGCATGAAGCCCATTTCAGATATTCCTTGAGGGAGGTAAGGTTGGCTGCACCACAGACTGAGGGACAGAGGAGCCCTAAAACAGGATCCCTCCCTGGGGTGAGTAGTAGTGATGGCTTAAAAGCTTCCTAGAAGCACTGTATCCCAGAACCAGCCCTCCACTCTGCCCATTTTGTTTACCAAACCATCTCAGGGCCTGTGGCACAACTTGCAGTGACCACAGGAACTTGCCCATAGCCACACAGGGGAAGATCTGGATGCAACCCAAATCCTTGTTGGCCCCAACCTGGGCCTCTCAAGGAACTTTTAGATTGGCTGCAGCTATCCTGCCCAGGGCAGATACTGGTCTTGCTCATCACCCTGCTTATTGTAGTGTCTTAAAGTGAAGGGTGGGCTGGCCTTCCAGGGAGGCTTGACGATTACTGCTTCCAACTCACACACTGGACCAGAGAGGGATGGACGCAGGGACAGGAGACTGCAACAGGATCCGGTTTATTCTGCCTTGGCAGGGTGGTCCTGAGAGTGGCGGGTGCCACCCTATCCTGGGTGGAGGGAGGGCCCGAGGGCCAGTTAAGGCCAATGGCGGGAGAAGCAGGGGGCACACAGCCCCTGGAATGCAGTGAGGCCAGGCTGAGGCCCGGAGGCAGCTGTGGTAGGCCTGGGCAGGGTGCCCCTGCCGCCCAGGGTGGAAGGCATCGAACTGGGATGGGGCCATGGCCTACAGGACCGTGGACCCAGGCCACACGAGCACCCTGGGAAGCGGGTGCAGGATCACATGACACAGAACATGAAACACAGGCACAGAGCTCACAAGTAAGCACATGGACTAGTGGGCACAGATTCACAGGCCAGAGAGACATCCAACTGTGGCCAAGCTGGACACAAACACAATGGTAGTGCCACATACAGATCAGAGAGACATGGCACTATGGAATACATGATGGCCACCAGGAACGAACCAGGCCATGGAGCTCTAGGGAAGAGGGAAAAGGGCCTTTTGGCACGACTGCACTGGAATCATGTGAGACATAGGTGGCAGGGGGCTGGTTTGGAGGTGCCTAGGGCAGCACCCCCCATACCCTCTGGGCTTAGTCTGTCTTCCACACTTTGTTGAGAAGCTTTACCACCTCATCGTAGATGATAAACACGATGGCCACATCCAGGCAGACTCGGCCCAGGCGGGGGACAGTACCCTTGTAGAAACTGGGTGAGGGAGGGGTATGAGGTAAGTCAGGGAGGGAGGAGCAGAAGGACAATGCCCCTTCAAAGGGCAGCCTCCAGCTCCCTGCTAGAAGGAAAATAGAGGCCTAAAGGGGGACAGGAGGGTGGAAGACCAGAGATGGTCTGGATAGGGATAACAGCCCTGCACTTCCCCTACTTACGCTTTGAGCCCCTCTTTCCTCAGGATCTGCAAGCCACAGTCCCACGTGTTCCGGTATTTGTGTGCCTCCAGGCCCTACAGGATACCAGTGGGCTAGAGTGCTTAGCAGCTAGCCCCTGACTGGAGTTCCCCTCCCACTCTTTCAGCGCCCCCCACCTGCATCCGGGTCTTGATCACATCCAGAGGCGTGTTTCCGAAGACACTGGCTGCACCAGCAATAGCTCCAAAAACCCCGGTGATCAGTGGGTTCATGGGTTTGTTGGGGTTGTCCCCTGAATATATGGGGAGTTGTGATTAGTGGGTGCTGGGAGGATAAAGGGGGATAGGCTTTGAAGATAGACAGGAGCCTGAAGCAAGGGCTATGAAAGTATCCCCGTTCCTCAAAAGGGCAGCCCAAAGGGAGGCATCTACCTTGCAGTATTTGGAGGTGGGGCTTGGGACAGACTCACCTCTGTACCAGTTGCGCAGGGAAGTCATCACAAAGAATCGGATGGCTTGGTTTGAGCCCTGTTTCAGCACAGTGGCGGTGAGTCCCTGGTAGGTCCCCTTCAGTCCTGGGGGCAGGCAGTTTAGAGTTACCCTGGTGCCTCCAAGACCCCAAGGGGGGATTGGGAAGATGTCATGTGAAGTGCCAAGACATAAAGTAGAAGTACAGGCCCTTTTTAGCCTGGTGAAGGTTTCTGACCCTCCCAAGTGGCTCACCTTGTTCCCGTACAATCTCCCTAACCCCGTGGAAGAATCCTCTGTACTTGGGGTTGGGGGAGGTCTGGTCATGGATGAACTTCACCTGAGAGAGGGGGGGGGCATAGAGAGAGAGAGAGAGAGAGAGAAAGACGGGGGCAGGCAGGCAAAGAAGCTAGATCTGATTCCATCATCTAACAAGCACACGTTGCCCTGTCGATATCAGGTTCAGAGACCACCAAGATCAGGCCAAGGCTGGGGGTGGGGGTGTAAGCAGAGCCACCCTAGGCTGTCCTGCACAGAGGCCCCAGGACAAAAGAGAGTCTTTGCGGTTTTTTCCTGCTATTTTCCAAAGTTTGGGCAGCAAATGTGTATGTGTTCTGTTTAAAAAAGTATTTTTAAAAAAGATATTCGTAATAATTTTGTCTCCACAATAGACAGCCTCCAAAGGAGACCCTTCCTGCCAGGCCTCCCCAGTAGTCCCTTAGTGTTCTCCCTCCATGCTCTGCCCAGCTTCCTTGAGATCTTCCCACCTTGATCTTCTCCCAGGCACAGGCTTACCAAAACCCTGCTATCTGGATCCATGAGCCCTTCCCCCCATGACAATCTCAATGGGGTACATGGCTACCAATGGTCTGGGGTACCTTGGAATACCGCCCCCCCCCCAGCTTTATTTCTGCGCCAGGACTTTCCCCACCTTGATGGTCTCCATGGGGCACACGACCACCACAGCCTCTGCCACACCTGCACCCAGGCCACACAACAGCCCCCGTGTGCTGTCTAGCCTTCCCTGGGCGTCCCGCATGTGATTGCTGAGGAACTCGAACATTCCGAACCTGGGGATGAGAGGAGGGTAAGATGTGTCTCTGCTTCTGCTGGGGTAGGGGGCATCTCCTAGTCGCCCTGAGCCAGCCTGGCCTCACCTGACGGCCGCCTTGGGAATGGAGCCGTAGAGAAGAGAGCTGAGGCCACGGTACAGGCCCAGAACGCCATGGCTGCGGACCGTCTGCCGCACGCAGTCCCCTGCAGGAGGGGGCAGTCAGGATACTGCGACCCTTAGCATCCGCCCTGCGCCGCTCATTGCCTCCCATAGCCCCGTGTCTGCCTCCTCCTTACCGATGCCCCGATACCGTGGCGGGTGCGAGCGCTCATCCAGCTGTAGCTGCGTCTTCACATACTCAGTTGGGAATGTTATACAGATTTCGATGCCGCCGGCCAAGCCGCCTGCAGGGATGGGGCAACCAGGTCCTAAGACGTGGCCCTGGGTGGCCCCAGCCGCCTTTCGGGCCCCTCCCCCGCTCCGGACTTCGCCCGGAGCGGCCGCCAACCGTACTGCGAGGCGGCCGAACCTGGTGCACACGCCCCCCACCCCGTTGTCCCGACAAGGTGCAGAGACGACACGCCGGGCGAGCCTACGGCGCCAGGAGGAGACCCGGGACACGTCCCCCGTTACCGTAATACACTCGACCGACCCGGAAGTGAGGCGGGGCCTCGGTGTCCCGGGCCCACCCGGAAGCGGAGCGGGCGGGATGGGGGTCCACGTCCCGGATGGGCCCGGGCCCACCTGCTAGGATCGCCTTCCCGGGGTGCGTCAGCTTGGCCTTTCCGGTTGCGGGCGCGGCTGCCGCCAGAGCGCGAGGGGCACGGGGCGCGGCCATGTCGGGCGGGAGGCGGGGCGCCCGGTGTTAGCCACGGGTCCGAGCCTCCAACGCTGGGCACTAGGTCCGTGGAGTCGGCAGCGGCAACCGGTTCTGGTCCCGGGGGCGGGGCGGTCGCTTCAGCTCCCGGGCTCCGCCCCGCGTGGCCTGAGCCGGGCCCCGCCCCCGCCCCGCCCCGTGCCCGCCGGGAAACTGAGGCCGGGGCGGGGCGCGCCGAGGCAGGCGTCGGGGCGGGGACCAAAGCCCAGCCAACGGCGGGTGCCGAGTCTCTGAACGAGCGTGAGCAGCAGGGTCAGGGGCGGGGCCTCGTGGAGGAGGTGCTGCGCCCTGGCGGGGGAGCAGTGGGTCAAGGTGCAGTATCTCTGCCTGGAGCAATGAAGCGCTGGGGAAGGATTGGGCCTCTGCACGTGGTAATAAGGTTTCCCGGAGGTCTCAGAGGAGAGAGAGGCAGATACTCTCCTAAGACATGTGCGTCCAGCCCCATTGCTGCCGTCTGCGAGCTTGGCTTTCTGACACCTCACGGGACCGTGTAGTTGCTATCTTGCTCTTCAGAATTTAGAGCTCCGTGCAGCAAACATGATCAATTAAAGACCCAAATACAACTTGGCTGCATACTTCTAGATAGCTTCTCTGGGCAGGCACAGCATCCCCCAAGAGGTCCCAGCAAATCTTTACCAGGCTTTATGAGCTATTTAATTGGCTCCTGTCCCTCCTACCCAAAAGAGCACCAAACAGAGAAGCTTCGTCTTGCTAAACCAACTTTTAATATTCATAATCAGCAGGAGACTCAGAGTCATTGAGGTTTGGCATCTCCATACAAATCCTATATGTCTGCAAAGTAGCCTGGAGAGGACAGCTCAGCCAATGTGGGGTGAAGAGAATGCCCCTCCTACCAAGCTTCAGGGAATCCTTGTAGAAAAGAACTTCCCTAGCAATGCCTGGCTCCAGCCAGAGGGTCTGGAGGCAGTAGTCCCACTGTGGTTGGTGCTTGTCTTCTTGGGCAGTCAGGGTCTACTGAGACCTTCCCAGGTTCCAAGATGGCTCAATAGCTGCCATCATTGGGCTTCAGTAAAAATAAATAACAGCCAATGTGTCCTGCTTCCCAATCAGGGTTCTCTGTGTGTCCAGAGTACAATGTTTCTTAGAGAAATTAATAATTGGGTGGAGCAGGGTGTGGATACTGAATACCCACTACACACTGAAGCCAAACACAGGAGGCTGGGTGAAGGCAGGAGCAGCTGCATATCCATAGGGGAAGCCAGCAGAGCTCACTGTCAGCGTCAGCTGCTGGCCTGCAGAAGAGAGAAACCCAGAGTGAGAAGACCTCCTGATGCCCAGGTTGGGGTTTCTCTCCTGGCTGCCACTTGAGCCAGAGGCCCAAGAAGCAGGGTTGCTAGGATCAACCCTGACCACCTAGAGCTTGAGGCATGGGGAGAGCAGAAGCCTGGGATCAAAGAGGGTGGGAGTGTTGCTGTGGGGCTGGCCAGGCTAGAAGGCAAGCTGGTCCTCATATTGGACACTTACTTAGCTCAATCGGCTGGCTCTCATTCATGCCCATCAAAATCTAAAAAAAAAAAAAAACAGATTGATATTAATAGTGGGTGCATACCCTGTCTTGGGAGGACACACTGGAGCCCAGCTGGTATGCTATGTGCTCATACCACCCTGGAAGGCCTGTTAGCTCTGCAGTGCAGTCAGGACCCAACAGCTTTTCCAGTCTGCTAAGACAGCCAGGCCATCTCCAGCAGGTTCTCAGGTGCAAAGCCACTCCTAGCACAAGCCAGCAACAGCCATACACTCAGGGCCAAATAGGGCAGGACACAGCAGGGTAACACCTAACCATAAGGCACGTGCATTCAGAGCAGAGAAGATGGCTATGCCAAAATTCCTGGACACTACCCTTTACACCTAGAAACTACTGAAGCCCTTACTACCCCCCAAATATCCATCCATCCATATCTCTATCTGAAGCCCAACTAGGGCAGGGCAGCGTGAATCCCCACCCTAGTGTGCTACCTACCGAACACAAGTGGGGCAGGCTCCCCCACATGCTCCTTATGCGTGTGCAGACTCTCCAAGGCATCCAGTTTGTCCACCTGCAAGAGGCAGGAGCATGTGAGCACCCATACAACAGAGTACAGTCCCGCTTCTAGGTGAACATGGGACAGAAGACCTGACACAGGAACTTCCAGGAAACTTGGAACTGAGGACGTGCAGAACAACAGCCAAAGTGGCTCACTCCATACCCTACTCTGCAGGAAGGCCATGATGAGGTGAAGCCTGGGGATTGGGGCTGAGACAGAGCATCTGGAACAGCTCTGGTGAAGCCCCAGCTGCTGTTCCCAGCCTAGCTGCTTTGTGGTGGACTTGGGGCCCCCAGGTACACTGTAGCAGTGGCTAGTAGTCATAGGCTGTGAGTGTGGCCTGGCTCTGGACACAGGGACAGCACTGCTTATGAACCTGCAGGGCTGGGGTAGTGTACCGTGACTGCCTGCCCCTCCTATCCAATAGAGAGAGCATGTGGTCTTCAAGAGACCAGTCACCTGAAACCTGGGACACTCCATCTGTGAGACACTGGGGACAAGCTGCATCCTTACTCTTCTATGAAGTGCCATTACATGCTGCCCCTGTGCAGTAGTCATAGACTGGGAACAGAATGAAGTGGTGCAGAAGGGATTGTCAGAGGTATGAGCACTGTTCTAATGGGGACAATAGCAACTGTGCATCTAGAATCCCCCAAAACAGGTGTGGAGTAAAAATGAAGATAACTTTTCCCCTATGAGCTTGGGTCTGGGAAGATCAGGCCAGGCGTCCTGACAACGCCTTCCTGCAGCAAGCCAGGACCTAGATGAGGCATTATGGCCCATAGGCTGTCCTCTTTGCTGGCGGTTTGCAAAAATCTGAGCTGGGACTGTACCTACTTCCACCCAGACAGTATTTGGAGGGTTGCAGAGGGATAGCCTACAAGTTTCCTAGATGAGCTGGCAGGCCCCAACCTAGTTCTTCAGTCAAGAGGGGTTGTGGCCTTCTTTTTAATTTTTTTAAACTATTTTTTTTAGTTGTTGATGAATTTTTGAATTTTATTTATTTGTATGTGGTTCTGAGAATTGAACCCAGTGCTTCACACATGCTTGGCAAGCACTCTGCCACTGAGCCACAACCCCAGCCCAGTTGTGGTCTTCTTGTCTGGGTCCCTCACCATTATGGCACTGCCGTGTTGCCTCTGTGGGACTGCAGCTTAGGCCAAGAACAAGTCCATGTCTATACCCCTACACATCTGTTGAGGAGACCTGTGGGACGCCATTCTCACACGTGATCGGGTGCCTCCCGTTGAGGGTCTGAGGCACTTTGGCAAAAGTCGAAGTTTTTCCCGTCCCTCTCCTGATGAGAGAGCCCATCCGTGTGGGGGTGTGCCTGACCACTGACCCCGGGGACCCAATCGCTGACCCTGACCTTGGAGTGCAGCCCCCCC